CATTTATATTTATATGTAGAATCCCATTAGAGTTGCAATGCTGCATGGCTTATTTGAAGTAAAGTTTAGTAATAATGATTTTGTGTGGAAGACATCTGGCAAATTAAAAATATTTAATTCAAGTCCTCTTTCTCATTTGCTAAATTGTAAATTATCACAAGACCCTTTCGCCCTTACTCAAACATGCCTGACGGTGCGTTCCTCGATAAAAGTTTGGCATATCAGGTTTAAATTAAATTCAATACATAAACATCAGTCTTAATTCCTCTCGAAAGAGTATGGCTTGCAACGTGATATACAGCCATCAATAATTTTTGGCCATTTTTTTATTAAACCTGTTGGTACCGCTCGACTTATTTGTTATTTGTAGAAGTGCGCATAAGTGACATGTTGAGTGCGTCAGTGGTGAGGGAGTAAGTGAGCTGGCAAGTGAAAGGCAATGAGTGAGTAAGGTATTGATTGGGATTAAGTGAGTCGGTGAGAATAAGTAAATGAGTGAGGTGACAAGCTGTATGGAGTAAAAAGTGAGTTGATCAGTATGTGGAAGTGAATGAGTATGTTGGTTAATGGGTGAGTTCGTTTATCAGCTATTAACTTAGCGAGACTCCGAGAATGGCGCGATTGTTGATAAAAACGCCCTTAGAGTGTACTCAGTACTATAGCAAAGATGTTCTCCAATAGAAAAAATCTGTAAGTTCTGACCCGCCACCTCTACCCTCACAGTAACCAAGCTGTTCTCTAAGGACAAGGCGTTTGTGCTACGCGTCTTATCTGCACGAATTACGCACTCCGTGTCCATTCCCCATGGCGAAAAGTGTTGGGACACTACACCGCAGTATTCACGACGATGTTCAGCTCATCACAAATTGGCTGGACCTGGCTCAAAATTCACAGCAAGCTCAAAAAGTCGCAATGACTCCTGCAGATCTAGTTATGCCACCCCCATGTAAATGATCAGAGTGGAATGCAGGCTTACAATCTATCTGAAGCAATGGGAAGCACTCTTACCACATCTTGTGCCCCTTAACTTAATACCTTTTTCACATACAGCAATGCAAATTAAGCAAAAGAATGTCGAGGAGCCATAGATTAGGTTGTGGGACTGATATCTCGCCCATCCACTCCATAGGTAACATTAAATGACCGAATGCAGTTAATACAAACAGTGAACTTTTGAGGCATAGCATGGCTATAACTCCCAAATGTTCGTGTAATTTTGCAACTGTCAAAATGGAAAACAAAAGTTGCCTCACAAATTGCCCGATGTCTTCCACAAAATCATTATTACTAAACTTTACTTCAAATAAGCCATGCATCATTGCAACTCTAATGGGATTCTACATATAAATATAAATAATGGGTTTTGCCAGAATTGATCGAAAAGCGTGCTGAGATGAAAATTTACGCGACGCGG